CTATCTATCTATCTATCTATCTATCTATCTATCTATCTATCTATCTATCTATCTATCTATCTTTTTTTTTTTTGTGGTGGGGGGCTCATTGACTGGTTGGATGGAAGTCAGCAGGCCACCAGTTGAATAGCCCTGATGTAAATAAACAGTGGCAGCAACAAGTCGGATATACTGTACTGTAGGTCATAAAGTAATAGTTCAGATGATTTGAAATGGGGTGAAAAAAGTTACAGTAAGCATTTTACCTGTTGTAGATAGCTCTTTGAATGACCTCAGTTTGGGAAAATAGTTTGATTCTGACCGTACTGATGAGCTACTGGCTAGTCCCAACAAGACTAAAGTGGGTTAAATAGCCCCCAAATCTGAATTTCATTTACAACTGTTCATAAAAAGCCATGTTATCTATCAAAATACACATTTTCAGTATTTTTTATTTAAATTTTCATTCTTCCAATGCAGTTTTCTCTCATTTATTCATTGATTTGGGGTAAACATAACTCAAACACATTAGAAAACAACAACTGATTGAAATTCAGTTTCGATCGGTTACAGAAATTCACCCATTAAGAGTTCAGAATATTTCATCACAGTTTGTTTATCTGATCTTAGTGCCTTTTGGAGATGAAGCTCATGCAGCCAAACACTCTGAAGTCGCATTCGTCATGTGACAATGGTGCGCAYGCAGAGCTGTTTGTGGTCTCATTTCCCACACTGCAGGTCTGAGTGGTATGACTGAGTGAATTCCTGACAACAAAGAAAACYAAACGGAGGAATGAAGAAGCTGCAGATGCTGGTGTTGCTTGGCAGAGCGCACACACACACGTCGTTCTTCTCTTGACTAGCTCGTTCTTTGTCCGGCCCTGTCATTTTGCAGCTACGGCGACAAGGTGGAGCACTTCAGAGTCCTGGAGGGCGGTGGTCAGTACTGCATCTGGGACAAGTCGTTCTGCTCCTTGAACCGCTTGGTGGACTTCTACAGAACGCACAGCATCGCCGTGGAGAAAGTGGTCCGCCTCAAAGATCCTCCCTCATCCCCTCTTGGACGTAACCCCTATCCCAACCCTTATAAAAGCACCTCGCAGGAGTCGATCCCCTCCGCCCACATCCGTTCTCCACCCTCTCGCCCCAAACCAGTTCTGGAGGTAAGACAAAAAAATGTAACATGACATTTCTGTGTACATAACTCCATTAAACACATACCCGTGTTTCTGACATCTTTCATCTTCATACAGAAGCCTCGTCTGGCTCACGCCCTCTGTGACTACACCCCTCCTCAGTCCGCCCACCTCCACTTCCGGCGAGGTGACATCATCGACCTCCTGGACTGTTCGGACTCCCTGAGCTGGAGGGGGCGCTGCAGAGGCCGGGTCGGCGTCTTCCCTGCGGAGTACGTGCGAAGGCTGTATCACTAGCTCCACGTCTGAGACGTGCTTCAAAGCTGTCCCGTGACAAACGCGCTTAAAACCAGCTGTTACACAAAACACTCCAAGTGACAGTCCAGATGTTTTGAAGTGAGAAAATCATGAACAGCTAATATCTTACCTGTTGTGGGTAAATTTGAATGACCTCAGTTTATTTCTAACCAGGTGGATTAGCTACTGATCTAAAGTACTGCCATCTAAAAACAACACTAACACTTAGATATCTTATAGCGGTACATGCAGAAAATATTTGATAAAATTTTACTTTGTTGGACATTCTGCAATACAGGTTTTTTATGTAACACTGTTGCAAAATTAGAGTTGTTTTAAGATGGCAACAATTACCATTGTTTTGACTAGCTGATTGCTCAATAATCCAGTCAGAATGAAACATTGTTTCTCCAAATTGAGATTGTTTAAAGAACTAACCACAACAGGTAAGATATTCATAGCTTACAACCTCTGCACAGAACCTCATTTTAAAATGTCTGAACTGTCCCTTTAATAGTGCGTCATCAGCTTCTTACATCGAGGGGTTCATTAGGAGGTCTTGTGACAATGCTAACAGCTAAGTTTGATTCTGTTTATGGTTCTGCCTGTGTTCTTCTTACTGGACAATAAAATGATGTCATATATTTTAACATGACATCATTGACAGTACATAAATATTATATTCAATACACAAAATATATCACAATTTCAAAATCTCATTTTCCTGATCAGCACTCTGTGTTAAATGAATGGTCTTGKTTTTGTGTGGATTGTACCATGTAGTTATAGGAGTCAGTATCTTACCTGCATAAGACAGAAGTCAGACTAATGTCAGTTTGAATAATCAAGAACTTCAAACTTACACTTTTTCAGACACATTTAAAAAGTGAGTTTCTGGCATTTAAGATAACTTGTGTCTAAATCTAAAACAAAGTATTCCGTTAAACAAGTATTTATTAGATTTGAAGGTTCTAGAAAGTGGAAACTTGCTTCTAAATGTTTCATCTTCTGTTTAACCTCAACACTAATGACTTTCTCATTAATTCTCTGAACTGAGATTTCTGTCTACTGCAGGTAAGATACTGACCACACAAAAGTCCTGTAAATTGGAGGACTTCACTCAAAAGTAAAATTTAAACAAATGCTCAAACTTATAGTTTGATAGAATGAAGCTTTGCAAACCTTTGCTGTCAGTCCTAAAATCTTTGTTTTGTTACCAGACACTGAGTTATTTTATGTCTCTTCACACATACCTGACATGTTTCAGCGTCTTACTATGTGGCCAGGGGGCAGGACTGTGCGTCACAGTGTTCCTGTTACCGTTAATAGGTATGAACCAGGATGAGGGGGCCTACAAAATCTCATATACCTGGGGTGACATCCTGCAGCAGTGAAGCCAGCAGGAGGCGGTGCCGGCTCGTCATTATATTTTGATGGACAGACACCGCCTCCAAAAAACATCCGCTGTGACACCCCTGATGAAGACAGAAGTAAGAAACATGTCAGGTATGTCTGATGAACTTGGTTGGAATACTTTGCTGTCAGTTTTTACAACTTTCTGAGGTTTTAAATGGAAACTTTACAGAACAACATAAATTAGAGGTTTARTTGCTTTTTTCAGTCTGAATTGTTGGTTTTATGTCGCTGCTGCACAAAAAGCAACTCATAAACATCCCTTTGGTTTCTATGTTTGGTAACTAATTTAATCAGTGAAACAAAAATGAACTCTCAAATAAACAATCGGCTTTTAAAGGGACCTTTTTTTAGCCTTTTTTCTTGAAGTGGCAGAATTTACGTGTTTTACTTTGTTTTATTATATTTTATGTCCATAAAATCTTTAATACCAGTAAAATAAATGTGCATAGATTCAGATTAAAACATGTCTCCCATTATGGTTTAGAAATATTTTAACACTTTATTTTTGCAGATATCCTTCAAAAATAAGAAAGAACACTGGAGAAAGGGGATATTTTTATTAGACTGTTATTTGTGCAACAAACAAGCTGTATTTCACATTCCTTCAAGAATTGTTGACATAACGAGACATTAAAACTGAGTTTGTCTTGTGTGAAGCTGTTATCTACCTTGTAATATATATATA